CTTTGACTTGATACTTTTTTTTGTTTGTCTTTTTTTTTTTTACTTTGTCTTTTTGAAATTTTGAATTGATCCACCTTCATATTTAAGATACAATTTATTCTAATAAATATTTTTAGAATCTTCAAAAAAAATTAATAGTTTAGAAGATATGAGGTCTTCAAAATAAAATATAGATTTTTTATATAATATGTAAAAATATAAAATAATAGATTTCTTTACATAACAATTTAAATTATAAATTCTGTATCTATATTCTAAATACTAAATTCCAAATTTCTTAAGTCTAAAACTTAACCTTAGTTGGTTTATAATAGGGTGGTAGATAGAAATGCCAATAGATTGATGATGAAGAAGACTAATGCTTGTAGATATTAGAAGATAGAAAAAAAGAGTGTATGAAGAAACTTACCACTTTATTGTAATATATGGTGAAAATTGGTTTGACCATATATAATCCATAGCAAATATTTAGAATATATGTTATATAGTTTAAGGAGAAGTCATATTAAAACTCAGAGATTCTCATTCATTTGTAAAATCAATATAAAACTTAAATGATCAAACCTTCAATATTTACAAATTTATACACTATTAAAATAATATAATAATATAATAATATATTTAGAATGAAAAACCTTCAAATAGATCTAATGATGTTTATAAAAAATTAATAAATCTTTTTATAATAAAATTCAAAATCCTAAAGTCTGAACAAAAGTTGCTAAATTTTGCAAATTAAGAACTTATAGAAGAAGTTATTTATATCACTTGAACTATAGATATTAAAAAAAAAAAAAAAAAAAGAGATAGGTCAAGTAAAGTTCTAAAATATAGAGATTAATAAATCTAACACCTATATTCAATATCTAAATCCTAAACCATAATTCCTATATAAGCTATATATTTTATTGTATTATTATAAATAAGTTTATATGTGATAATTTATATAATTTTTTTTATGTTTTATAAAGAGTAATTTTTTACTTTTATAAACCTCATATCTCTAAAATATAGACTTACTTAAGATTTTTAATGCACTACTAGAATCAAAAGTATCAAAAATAGTAAGATTTATTAATATAAAATTTTAAAAGACAAAGAAGAAAAATCAATATCCCTATATCTAAAAGTTTAAAAAAAATTAGTGCATTTTAAGTCCACCATTAAAATAGTATTTTCCTAGAAATAAAAAAGAATGTCAAATTAAAACTTGCATAATCCTATCCATTTTTAAAATTAACTTAAAATTCAAAATGGTTAATTCATTCTATTTTAAAATATATATATATATATATATATATATATATATATATATATATATAGATATATATTAGAATAATTTAAATATATATTTAGAATTAAAAATATTTAAATAATATTTTCAAAATTATCAAAAATCCTTCTAAAAAAATCAAAATTATAAAGTTCAAGTCAAATTTGATATATCTTATAAATTAAGAACTCGTAGAACAAATTATTTATACTTATGGAATTATAAAAATTACAAATACAAATGTGGGTCAAGTCAAAATAAAAAATAAAGAGGTAATAATATTAAACATATCCATATAATCTTAAATCCTAAACTCTAAAACTTAAAGACCAGTCTTAAAATTCTAAATCCTAATCCATACACTTGATTAATAAACCTCAAATTTAGCATTGCAGCATTTCATTTACTTAATTTACTTATAAAAAATTTTACCTTAATGTGTCTTATCTTTCATTATTATTTTCTTTGCTGCAAAAAATTTTCAAATAAATATAGTAATAATGCTAATAATAATTTATAAAAAATAAATCAAATCATTAATAATTGTATAATTATTTTATTTTAATATTAGAAGAATATTTTATTTAATTTAATATATTATTTTCATAAATCAAATTTTTTTTAATTTTTAATGTAAATTTTACAAAAGCCAATTCTACTAATGAAATTAGATTTTTCAATCTACTTTGAAACTCTTCCAAAGCCTCACATTTTCGCATGTCTAGCTTTGCCAACAAAACCTTTTTTAGCCACTACCTAATATTAATCTTATATTTCATTATTACATAAATAAAATCTAAGTAAGATCCATCAAATTAATTTCTAGAATATATAATTAAAAAAACAATAATACTACTAAATTAATAGTAGTACAATAATAATCCATACTTTTACCAAAATACTTACAATACAATAAAAAAATTACAAGAATGACAAGTTTAATGACTCTCAATTAATAATATGGCATATTATATCTAATTTTTGTTAATACCAAAGTCAAAATACATGATTACAAGGCATAAAAAAAAATACCTCAAGAGCTTTGATGAACTGTTTTAATGTGAATACCTATGCAATTCCAACATCAACAAAAGAACTCTTAGTAGAAGCTTTCAAAAAATATGTGCTTATCTTAATTATTTGAAATACTTCAAATTAAAGAAATTATTCACCTATTTTTCAAAAAATCAAGCATCATTGAATATCAAAATTAAATAATTATTAATTTATTAAATTACAAAATACAAATCTTATACAAACTTAGAGATATAGTGTTAATCTTGCTCTAAATTAATTAATAGTCTTAATTGATGTTTACAAGTATTTTATATATAATAAAAAATAAAAAATATCATATTGAATTAGTAATTTAAAAACCAAATTCTATAATGGAAAGAAGATAGTTTAATAAAGACTATAAAGGCCACTGTTATTACTATATATTTTTATAATATCCATATATCCTTTATAATTTAAAAGTTTTATTTACATGTAATATAGTTATAAAATTATAAAGATAAAAAATATAAATATATATAAATATAAATATATATATATATATATATATATATATCCTATGACATATTATATAATTTCTTCAAATTAATTAAAATATATATATATATATATATATATATATATATAATACACATTAATATATTATAACTAAATCACTTTGATCTTGAATATAAAACTTTGAAAATCTTTTTTTCTAAATATAGGCTAATTTTTCTACTACTAAATATCTAAAATTAATTTAAATAATAAAATATCATATCATATTTAAATAATAAAGATATATTTTTTTACCATGAAAAAGTTATGCTTCATAATAGAGGTACTAAAAGTACACAAAGTAGAAGTATTATAATACTAAGTTTAGCAGTTGTGCAACACCTCAACAAAGCATGTAACTAAAAAAACTCAAGCCAAGGTGCAAATCCTTATCAACAAATGCATGCAACCTAAGTTGCTATTGATCCAAACCATCCTTATAATTTTCTTGTAATCTCAAGCAACAATTAAATTCCGCCTTGAGAATGCTATTTCAAATACTTGGGCTTATGTTGCAATCCATCGCACCTTCAACAGAACGTTCTTTAATCCAAGTAGGTTTAGAAAATTCCATGTTTATTAAAAGAAGTAGAAGAGACAAAAAAATCTTCATCAACAAACTTAGCAACGATGCTACTTGCATCAAAGAGAGCAATATGCAAAACCAATTTCAGCAACTGCCTAATAACTCAACAAAGCATGTAATGTTGCAACTTAGGCCAAGTAGCAAATCCTTACCAATAAATACTTTCATACTAAACTACTGATGATCCAAACTGTCTATGTAATCTTATTATAATCTCAACTAGTACGTCAATTCTACCTTGAGGATGTTATTTTCAAATACTTCTACTCATGTTACAATCCACTTCCGAATCCAAGAAAGTTTTAGACAATTGCTTATTTTCTAAAAGAAGTAGGCAAGACAAGGAAATCTTCATTAACTACTCTAGCGACAGCACTATTTGCACAAAGAGAGCAACATTATAGTCTATGGACATCTATGCAAGTAAGAAGACATGGAGCTTTTATCAATGGTGAGGAAAGAAAAGAAAATGTGGGAGAGGCTAAGTGAGGCACTATTGGCTAATATCTAATCTTGTTGTAGATGAAAATGAGATTGATTGTCGGTCATCATTTGTACAACAAATGAAACTCCAATAGAGACATCTATTCCATTGGCGTAGAAATGTGTGGCTATTAAATGTGGCCATTGCAACACTAAAATCCTAATACTGATTAGGCTTGTAGAACCACAACATAATATCAATTCTCAAAATAACTATGTGCACCACATTATAAAGAGTCCCAAAATTGCATATCAGCAAGAATCTTGTTAAAGAAAAGAACGAAATTCATCCCACACTAAAGTTGATACTAATTGTATCTTTTATATTTCAACTCTAAAATATGAACTCAATTCCACATGTTAAGTAGAATCTAGATTGCAATACCAATATAGATTCTACCTAACATGTTGTCTGCTTGTTGCTCTAGGAGTAGTGGACAAGTAATTGATTGAGAAAAACTTAAATTAATGTAAAAATTACAAAAATTGACATTAATTGTTAGCAAATAGAAGGGTTGGTATAAGTGGTGGAGGAATCCATTTATAACCTTGTGATCCATGGTTCACTTCCAATCAATATCAATGTTGGCTTTGTGCTATCAACTTTGTTTTGGCCCTTCTTCTTACTTTTTAAACTCTTCTCTTGCCCAGAATAAATGAATGTATGATGAAAAAAATCACTGAGATCCCAGAATGGGGGACATTTTGCCTTGGCCTACATAATGCTTCTATTCTCTCTTTTAATAACTTGTTTATCATCCCTCGAGAATAGACAAAGATTATTGTCTTCACCATATCATTAACATTTATAATTTTATAAATACAAGAAATTTGATAACAATAAGTCATGTACTGTACAGGTTCAATATCAACAATCCGGATTTGAAGGTGCATGCTACAATTAGGCGTGGCAGTGAGACATGTATCGGTATAGTCTTGAGGATTATCATCATTTTCAGTTGAAAACTTGTATGTGGCTATTGCATCACCTTGATGTGATTAAGCAAGTCAACTTATAGATGCAGTTGCAATGTAAAAAGAGAATGTGAAACAGATCTGAAACAACATAAACATGCCTTAACCCACACATACCACAAACAAAGGGAGAAAAATGCTGTATGTGAAGCACATCAAGAACATTGTCAATGTGAACCACTCTTGCAAGTGATTTCAAAGCCAACTTAACAGCACTGTGCTTGCTATTAAGCGAAATGCAGACACACACGACGTGTCATAGCTTTCATTTATGTCCTTCCCACTAGTCTCCACTAACTACCACTTGTCGTGCAAGTGGCAGGTAATAAGTACAAGTGTCTACATATATCAAATGACAATGGCAACGCAAATTTATAAACTCCTACTGTATGACGTAACAAACCTGGTACAAGCTCGCAAGCCTCTACGATTGGCTTATATCTCTCGAAAAGTGAACAATTCCACAAATCTAGGATGAATTGAAACCAATTTAAGGCTCGTAGTTCTCCAATACAGGTTTTCCACGCCACGTATTTCAACTGCTTGTGATTGCCCTGCTGTATGACGCAACAAACCAGGTACGGGTTCACAAGCCTCTCTGATTGGCTCAAGTCTCTGTCGGAACCTAACAATCCTACTGATCTTGTGGGAAGTAGAACCAACAAAAGACTCATAGGTCTCCGACTTCGGTTTTCTATGCCACATACTTGAACATGTTGGGGTTGTCCTTATCTCGCTCTAAATATTCACGGGCAATAAGATCCTCAACTCGCTTCTTAATCACTTTAAAATCAGGCTGGAAAGTCCAAAACAATCAAGTTAAGTGGCAGTATTCATGTCCACAAAAACCTGAACTTCAATACGAGCCCACCTGGTTAACGCTAGACATAATTCCAAGCGGAAACTACAAAGTGAACAATACACTTATATAATAAATTGTGTGGATAGCGTAAACAAATTGAACGAGGCGCACCTTGAACATCCGCCCAAGTTGCTCAACACATTCCAAGACCAGTTGCTGATGAGGCAATACTTTCCGACTCTTCATGATCCGGACAATAGATGCGTCAATGGCGTATCGCCTGTCCTTATCCACATCCTCAATCACCTTCTTCTTTTCATCCATCGGCGGCAATGGAATCTGTCAAAATACACGACATGTTCAGATTATCAGTGAAATGAAATTGACAACTAGACTCCCACGCCAATGCCTCCCAATTGCTCCAGCTCTTAACTGTAATCTACAGTATTTTGTTTTCATTAGGCATTTCAAGGACGGCAAAGATAACCTATTCCATTCACATGAAATAACCCACGAGCAAGAGCATTTCTGCTTGAACAAATAAAGGTGCTAAAGAGATCAAAAGCACGTACCTTAATCCGTCTCATCTTGTCAGTGAACTTGGTATTAAATTCAAAGGTATCAGTTTGCCCAACAGTCTTGGTGTGTGGATCTTTGTTTAGAATCTTGTACTTGGCACATGATAATGAGTGCAACAATCTAACGATATCCTCGTCTGTAAGGTTCAATTGATTCTTGATGTCGTTGTAGCTCAGCCTATCCTCAGCATTAAAGAGCAGAAGCACTGCAGCCTGAAGCACAAAGGACTCTTCGATGTGAAACAGTCAACATGGCTTAAAAAAAGAAACACTGCAACACAATATACATATCAGAAGATAAAATAGTGGCACTAGAACACTTCGAGATGCGCATTGACTGCGGAATCAGGCGGGACGTCTCATAATCTTGAGGATCCATGGGAAAATATCGTAGTAGACCTGATTTAAGTACCTGGTATGTGGTAACAATTAGCTCAATTGGCTTAGCATCAAATTTCCCAGTTATGTTGCACGTTCCTAAAGAGTATATCCAAGTCAGCTTCCTATGCTTTGTTTTCGTCTGATAGAACTCCTTGAATACTTCAACGCATTTCACCTGAAGGTTGGAATCAGCTTTGGATCAGTACAGACAGAGATTAACTATTACCTGCTATCTGCTAAAAGTAAAACTACAAATATAAGAAATCGTTCCGAAAACAGCCAACCGCAACAAATTAAACAGTAAGAAGAAAATACAGCTACATTGCATGCAGGTTGCAAATAGTTTAACTGGGCACTGACCATCTCTGCTGGTAAAGCCAGATCGGAAGACTTGTAACTGGGCCAAAAGCCAGTTGTTAGAACTGTCACTGTCAAGTCAATGCCTGGGCTCGACTGTATGTTCTCCGTCAAATATTCTTCAAAATTGGTTTGATTTTCACGTGCAAGAGTCAGATCCGTCACCTGCGAACGTTCGCGAAGTCTTAAACATTATGTTTTGTGTACAACATTCATTTTCACAACTTCGATTGTAGTAAATTGGACCAAACTCAAATAGGAGAGGCCTAAACCCTGAAGTCCCCAAAAAACCATCTCAAACAAAACTAAAATAATTACCATGCCCTCCATTTTGGAAGTGAACTGCCCCCCACATTGCTGCTTCAATTTTGTTAAGATGCTACGCTCATGGTCGTCATTAGCACTCTTGTCAAAGAGCAACCTTCGAGCCAGCTTTTTCCTAGAGCAATCGAAGGAAGAAATCATCAGAACTTTCTAAGAATAGATCCTGACACAGAATATAATGTCTAGCAGTTTGTGTGCAAACGCAGACCATCCTCTACAGCAGATAATCAAGCTGTCACAACTGATCAACATGTTCCCTATGTCAAACTAGCCAGACAAGCCATTGCTGTGTAAGTACGTTCGATGGTTTGTGCACAGGAAATTCACCTGTAAAACTCTGCAAACAGATCTTTATCGCTGATGTATGCAAGAAGCTTCACCACCTGCATTTCCAAACCAAAGCTGATTAATAAGCTGCAGAATATACAATCCTCAATAATCTAAGCCTACAGGATGGAGGATAAGATCAATTTGTAAAGAACATAAGATTATTCAGATCTTGGAGGTTTAACATGGCCTGAGTTAAACATGAATTAAGGATCAGGAGTTAACAAACTGAAGGTTACACCCTAGTTCACTCTGTGCTCCAATGAATTTAATAAAAATAAAATAAAAATAAAACATTTAACTTTGCAACAATGAAAATTAGCTAAAAAATTACAATTCCAAGCAAAAGTACATATTCAAGCAGTACCTTTTCAAGTGTGTCTTCAATTGCTTCGTCACTTAACTTTTCACTTCCACCCTTTTTCAATAAATTATCACAAAATGTGGCCAGTAACTCTGCACTTGTACTCCCTGCAACACCCTTGTTGCAGAAGACTTCAAAAGCTTCCTTCAGGGCCTGCAAGTAAAACCAAACGCCACACCAAAGTTCTTCATTTATCACATCTAATGAATTTCTAAAGAGAACGATAAAGACGCCGACATCATCGGAACAAGGAAAGGAGTCACTCACTTTGTGAAAAAGGGAGTGGTTGACGAAGCACTCGCTCACATACTGCAGATACTTGTCATGTAACTCAATGACCTTCCGCACAAAGGCCTGCGAAGAAAACCAGAGAACCATGAGAATATTTCTTCTCGTCATTTCTATCCAACCATATATTGCAATAAAACAGCTTTACACCTGCACTAGCATCCCTGAAAGTGCCAGGTCTTAAGAAGAAATACCTAAGATCTCCGGAAAAGATGAACAATAATCTCCAAAACTTACTGTAATGAAACTATTTGAGACTAAACTTGTACTTTGGTTATTACCTGTTCTTGAACTCCAACAGTATCTTTCTTTTCAGCCTGCACGGAGTACAACAGATCTTCTTTGATATCAGGAAAGTTAAGCGACCGCATGAACAGTTGCCTGCCGCCCAACAATCAGCACAGAATAACTACAATACACTTCATAAAACACACACAGGAAAGATATAGAAAGTCGAACCTTTTTGTTACCAGCAGCATCTTCAGCTTGCTTCACAAGGGCAGTTCCCTCTTCTGTGACATGCTGCAGAGAAGAAAAATGTTACAAGTGAATCCTGATAACGGTTGAGAATGTTCAAAGCACTTCAATATCACATAGTCATGGAAGAAACTCGACAACAAATCAACCTACTCACTACTCTTTCAACGCCTCAGATACCTTTTGTTAATATATCCATAGCCCGGTTCATATTGAAAGGTTTGATTTCAGACAATGCTGATTAAACCAAAGGCTAAAGATTGGGTACCAGTTTAAAAATGGCTGCCACAGGTTCCAAACCCTTCGGAATTCTCAAGAATAGCCGATACATTCTTGAAAGATCTTCAACTTTGTCGTCTCTTAGCAGAGTGTGGCAGCCGGAATGCTCCTTCTCAAGTAACTGTGGCTCATATTGAGTTAATAATTCATGCTGTACCCTCTCCAGCAATTTATGCTCACTGCTAGCATGTAAGTAATGCCCAACCCTTTCCTTCTCCCTTTTCAAACATTCCTCAGCCTTGAGCATATAATCAGGACATGAGTCCTCTTCAATCCAGGACGCTGCCTTTCTGGAATAATACGAAGCTGTATCTTGGAGCATAAAAGTCTCGAAATCAGACTCATACGCATCCATATTACCCATTCCAATCTCAACAAAAATACCCAGCACATTCTTCAAGAGCGCCCGATCGATTTGTTCGCCTTCGCGCTCACGGTCAATCTATGGAAAAAGAAACGTCAAATGTATCATTCATACGCTCATGCTGATCACCAAATCAATGTCATCTGAATAACCTCCGTGAAACACTTTTTTAAAAAATAAATAAATAAACCTCACCAGTGCAATTACAGCATCCTTAACATTAATCTTTATCTCCGCGTACACCTGCGCATTGAAACTCATACTTGGGATCAAAATATAGAGAAGGCATCGAAAAAGCGAAGGCTCTGATTAACCCGAAAAGAAACAACAAGAAGACACTTATTCTGAAATAGGCTCCGAGTCACGAGTATCGTACGAGATCGCGGAAACACATGAGCCCGACTTCACTAAGGGCTGGAAGTGATCGCCTTGCGATGAAGTATCGATCTAAGTAATTAAAAAACCGAGACAGCCATCGAACCATAATTTTGTGATTATCCCATCGCTTCACAAGCTCCTTCAGCATGAATTCTTCGTGTTTCTCTCTTAAGGCAGGCAATACCTACATGCCGAGCACACACGAAAATTCAAACCAGGAAACCTTAAGAAAAGTCACAGGTCTTGTAAAATACATTTCTAATATCAAAAGAATACAGTAAAAACTCATCGAAAGACCCATGCATCTAGATATCGCTGATAGTAATTAGTCCATGATGCAAACTCTGCAAGAAAAAAAATTGAAGGCAATTAATATGGCCCTGCTTCAATCTCAAGATTTTTGTCTGCCCGTGTTCCAAAAACTCACTGAATTCAGTAACATCTCTCATGGGAAATAAAAAATATATAAATAAATAAATAAATAAATAAAATCCCACAATGACTGCACCTTGGATTTGATGTAGTCTTCGAAGGACTCCCTGTATCTGTCATAGAGTTGCTGAGAGTAATCCTGAGGAGGCTTCTGCGTACACATGTTGTATATGGTTCTGTACAAACAGCATTAAGGACCAAAAATTTGGAGAATTGAATTAATTGAAAGAACAGTAATAATTTTCTAAAATAATATTGATAATAAAAGATATCATCTCCTCTGATAATCTCTTCGCTAAATCAATTCATGTCTTTTGAGTCTGTTTGGGAGTACCAAATCCTACATTCACAAGCAAGACTTCTGTTTCTTGTACGTATTGTGTATCGGTGAAGTACACAACGCTTTCCTCGTACAACATACCCCAAATCACAATACGAAAACGACTAGAAAAATAGTCTATACAATTGCCATGCAGCTGATAATAAACTTCGCGGTTCGTCATGGTTCCAGTACCACGAAACCTATCCTAAAAAAAGGATCAAAATCAAATTTGGATACGTGTAAAGCAACATGTATTCCTCGGAGCTGAACTGTTGTTCGGGCACACCCTCCAGAATATTCTTTAGCTTGGTGATGCCTTTCTTCATAAAGCTCCATCCCTGCTCCAACTCGATCACCTTCCTCTCGTTATTCATCTTCTCGTCGTCTACCGCCCGCTTCTTCCTCCACAACCGTTCAAAGGTTCACTCAGCAACTTTTCACTCAACTCCGAAAACTGCCTCTAAACCACCACCACCACCTCCTACTCCTCTTCCACCTCCTTCCAACCCCTTCCAAGTAACCCTACCCTAAAAACTGCATCAAAAAAACCACACTACACCATCACTCAACCAACTCTGCCTCCAAACGAATCCACCCCTTCGACACCTCTTCAATCACAAGCCTCACTCAACCTTGGTTTGACCCCGCAATCCCCGTTCTAATCATCACCACTAAGCAGAGGACCAAATATTTACAAAAAAAAAAAAAAAAAAAAAAAAAAAAACACTAGACCTAGGACCGCCACTGACAACCCTCCTCACTTCAAGTGTTCATTCCTCCCGTTGTCTCCACATCAATTGACTAGTCTCCACGCCCGGTGCACGACGGTCGACGCGTTCCAGCGTCACAACACAGAAATTGGATATCCGATCACACAATCGCAACCCCAGGCAACTCGACTAGGAAACAGGCCTCCTCCCCTGTCTTTCACTCGCTCTCTCTCTCGCTCTCTCTCTCGCTCGCTCGCTCTGCCTTTCCTTTGAAAAGATCAAAATGATACGATACCTCGCAAACCTCCAAACTCAATTGGGGAACCCTTTCCTACAGGCACCAATACCTCGGAGTGTGCACTTCTTCATTCATTCATCCTCCCACTCGCGTACGTACGTACATCCATCTTCCTTGTACATCCATCTTCCTTGTACATCCATCCGGCTTCTCGCAGGTTCGGCACGGAACCTGGAAAATTGCGTGTCACGGACGGACGGAAGGACGTCGTGGGTTGGGAACTCATTAGTAGTTGGATCTCAACCATGTTCGTAAATGGTTAACAAAAGAGGGTGAATTTGGCCTTTTATTGTCATCAAAAATAAAACATACATCAATATATTAAGATCGCTCAAGGAAACAAGTGGTGGCTCTCCACTGCATAGATGGGCCTTTGTTTTCATCAAAAAGGTTCATGTTTTGTAGAATTCACAACCCATTTTATAGTTGATCAGGGAGTTCTACAGGATGTTTCTCATGGTATTTCACACTGATTTTCTCCTCTTCAAATTTTTGCACTTCATACTATAATGCAATCATATAGATACTAGAGATACTAGAAAGGCAAATATATCGGGGAAGGCTCAGCATTTGTTTGAGTTTTGTGTTTTGATGATTTATTAAGATTTATTAAAAAGACAACAATCAAGAGCTATTTGAAAATATTTTACAATACAAGGTGCATAATCCATGTGCAATATCAAATCCTCAAGCGCCTTACATGGAAGATAGTCATCTTACAAAGTGGTATCCAAAGGTATTTGTAGAAGAAATAACAATGCATGCCAATGGATATCCTTAATATCGACAAAGAAATGATAGAAGAATGTTTGAAGTTCAGGGAATGGTTATTAATAATAGGATTGTTGTTCCATTTTTTCCAAAATTATCTTAGAAGTAGAATTTTTATATTAATGTTGAGGTATGTGCATCTATTTGTGCCATCAAGTATATTCACAAATACATCTATAAGGGCCATGATTGCATCACAATGCAATTTGAAAACCAACAAGTTGAAAACAAACAATATTTGGATATAAGATACATTGAAACTCCAAAGGCTGCTTAGAGACTTTTTGGCATGTGGATGCATGAAGAAATGCCAAATATTGTTTGTTTAGCCATTCATCTTTTAAGAATGCATCAACTGATATATGATCCAAATGACGAAGTAGCTACAATTTTAGAATGTATTGAAAGACAAAAGATAATATTAACTTCATTTTTTAAGACGTATGCAATAGTTGCAATGGCAAGATTATATATATATATATATATATATATATAGAGAGAGAGAGAGAGAGAGAGACAGATAGATAGATATATATATACCAATAATTTCTACAACATTTTGGTTGGCATAAGACAAGAAAAATGTGGACATTAAAAAAACATGGATTTGTTATTAAAAGATTATATTTTGTAAATCCTGCAATAGAAGAAAGATATTATTTGAGGCTTCTATTAATCCACATTAAGGGTCCACAATCATCTAAGTACTTAAATATTATTTATAGAATCTCTCATCCAACAGTTAAAAGTGAATATGCAACTTTAGGGTTGCTTGAAGATGATAGAAAGTTGCAATAATATTTGGAAGATACATCAAGAATATAAATTGGATCTCAATTGAAGGCATTATTTGTTATTTTTCTATTATACAAAAATCTGCTTAATCCATTAAACCAATAGAAAAGATTTTGAAAAATCATCCTAGATAATCTCAATGCCTATTTACAAAGAAAACATGGAATTAGTAATCCAATGGAGGAACATATTAAGGATTTTGGACTTTTCTTGCTGGATAAGATTTTGCAAGACTCTAATAAAATGCTTGTATATTTTTCTCCAATGCCATTACCAAGAAACAATTAGAATACAACAATTAATGAAAAATCGATTTATTCCTGAAGAAAGAGTATAAGACATTCAACAATTAGAAGCAAATTTGAAGTAAAATGTTCCACAATTAAATCTTGAATAAAAAAAAGAATATATGATGATATTGTAGATTCTAAAATGAAAGAATATGAACTCATATTTTTTTCTAAACTAACCTACATGAACTATTAAGACATTTCTTTACAATACTTTGGCAACTAAAGTTCGATTGATCCAAAAGATTGTTATATATGTTGTATCATCAAGAATTGTTACATTGCTACTTGAGAAAGGAAGAACTACCCATTCTATGCTTAAGATCCTACTAGATTATAACAAAGACTCTTTTTGTTCAATTACTAAGAATTTTAACTATGCTGAGTTTATTTGCCAAACTTCGCTTGTTATTTGGAATGAACTTCTAATGCAACATTGTTATTGTCTTGAAGTAGTTAATTATTCTTTTAGAGACATTTGGTATATTTATTGCCCATTTGGAAGAGCTAAAATAGTTTTTGGTAGAGATTTTTGCCAAATATTGCGAATAATTGTGAAAAGAATTTGAGAAGAAATTGTAGTAGCATCTTTTAGACATTCAATACTTTGGCCTCAAATAAAAATCCATATATTAAAAGAGAATATGAAGTTGAATTCAGGAAGATTTCAAATAGATATTGAGTTTGTTAATTGACTTCTTCAAGTACAGAATGTAGACACACATTGTATATAGAGATGGTAGTGGATTTGAATTCTTTATGGTTGTATTATTATTGACTAATATTTTTATTTTTCACTTATTATATTAGAGATAGTATAAATTTATTATCCAATAATATACTTAAGCTTCTTGATCACATGATTGTTGATCAAAAATTAATGTCTTTAGTGGATGTTATTTATCTAAGGTTGATAGAAGACAATATAACAAATGATGCCTTCTTTAGAGATAGAATCATTTTATTTGCATGCAATGATGATGTAGAAGATATTAATGAAAAGATTATGGTTATATTTTTCAGAGAAGAACAAGAATATTTAAGTATTGATGAAGTTGTTGTTGAAGATAGTATCAACAATAATAATGTTTATCCAGTCAAATTTATCAAGTCACTTAATTCATTTGAAATGCCTAGATCAGGATTGTCTTAAGGTTGAGACTCGAGTGATGCTACTAAGAAATATTGCTCCTTGCCAAGGATTTGCAATGGAACCTGATTGATAATTACATGACTAATGAATCAAATTCTTAAAGCAAGAATTCTTAGAAGAAAATTTTCTAAAAACTTGGTGTTTATTTTGTAGATTACATTAAATTCTATAATAAAAGAACTTCTATTTATTCTAAAGAAAAATCAATTTCCAATCCGTCTTGCAATTGCAATAACAATAAACAAATTCTAAAGAGAATTAATGAAACATATTGATTTGGATCTATGACAATCTATTTTTTTCCCATAGTCAAATTTATGTAGCATTCTCTTGATGTACTTCTTCATGTTTTATCAAGATTCTTCTTCCAAGAAATGACAATTTAAATTCCATGAAGAATATTGTTTTTCCAAAAAATTTAATTAGATAAATATTAATTATTTATTTTTTATATTTTGTATTTGAATTAATTTATTTATTGACTATAACATATCTTTGAATGTCTAAATATATTTTTTGATGTAATTTAATATTTATATATATATTTTTTCATAAGTAATTTCTTGAACTAAATTAACTAATTTTTTTGTATATTATCCATAACAACAACATGGATTTACTTATCCTACTTCATACATGAAAGCTCCATTATGTAATTTTTTTCTTTCTATTTGTATTATATTATATTTGAATTTGAAAAATATTCTTTGACTCACGAAAATAGCTTCATTTGAATCAAACTTTTAATGACGATGTCATGGGTCCATCTTATCAATGTTTAATACATGAAGTGGTTCATGTGAATAGAATAATGTGGGAGGTAGAGTTGATTTATATTGTAATTATTGTAGACATAAAAGGAGTTATTGGTGTACTTCTCTTTTGTATGTTTAATGCAAATATAAGAGAAATAAAATAATAATAATTTTATTTATTTATTATGTATATATTTTTACATGTAATTTTTAACATATAATTATTTATGAAATTACCAACTAATGATATTTTATTAAACTTAAATTTTAAAAAATCTTAATCCAACTAATAAAATAAGCTGAAAATTGATACACATATTTAATTCACATTTAGCCATTTATGTTCTATACAATAAATAAAAGTTTTTATTTTTTATTATTTAAATATATATATATATATATATATATATATATTCTAATCTATAAGCTATAACTTCCAAATAAAATCTCTACTAATATTCTAGTTAATTCTTTTTAAATAAACTAGTATTTATCTATTGATTTATTTAATAATTTTGTTACAATACAATACCTCATCATCAAAGTGAAGGTCTTTATTAGAAGGTAATATTATTTTTTTATATATATATATATATATATATATATATATATAATTTCAATTATTGTACTAAAAGTCTTTGATTTAATAATCTTGATTTATTTTTATAGATTATTTATTTACATGTTTATTTTATATAATTATCAAAATAACTTTCAAAATATTTATTGACTTTTTCTTTTTTTGACTTGCTGCTATTTAAATTATTATAAATTTTAGAAATCTTTATATTTTTTAATTTTTTAACTTATAATAAATTTTTAAAACGTATGGTCTTTTATATTAATACTTGTAATTATTTTGATTGATTTTTAAAATTTTAACTATCGCTTCAAAATTTTATTTATTTATTTATTTATTTCCTTCTTTGAGATTTTTAATATTTTTTAAAATTATGTGTAATTTTTAAATCTTAATAGCAGATTTTTTAATATGTTTTTAAACTTTAATCAAATTCTAAGTAAATCCTAATCAAATGTTGGCTAAATCCTAATAAAAACTTAAAGATATCTTAATAAAATCCTGAACAAATTCTAACCAAATCTTGTAGAAATTTTAAAACTTCAATTATCAGTACTTTAACTATTGATTTTGCTTCAAAATTTGTACACCTTTTAATCTACTAATTAAAAATAAGCACAAAATTTTTGAAAAAATCAAAATTATAAATTAAAAAAT